TCTTTCAGTGTGTGTGTCCTTTCCTCTCTCTCCCGAAGCCCATGGATAAACACTGATTTTGCCCTTTCCTCCTCCCATTGCCTCTCCCTCTGTGACTCTGGTTCCTGTCTGTATGTGGCCATTTTCTCCCTTGATTTTTCCAGTGGCTCTTGGTAGTATGGTTGTGCCTCAGCATTCAACCTATCACCCTCTCCATCTGCACCCATCTGCTCTTCTCTTCCACTCCCTGGCCCTTCTTTGCAGGTTGATAGGACCTTAGTATATTTCATATCTCCTTCCTTCCTGTTCAGCCTCTCAGCTTCGTATGGTGTGTCTTCTCTGGTCACTACCCCTGAGACTTGCTTCAGCCTGTTTACCTCAAATTCTAGGAACTTTACCCTGGCTACTGCAGTTTCGACTTGTGCCTCCCAATTCATCGTCTCCTTCTCCAACCTCTTTTCCCATTTCACAGAGAGCTCTTTCTCCATTTTTTCAGAAAGCTCTCCTAATTTCTCTCCCATTCTTGCTCTATCCTTTTCCACTGCTCCTCCATCCATTCCTCCCTACCAGTACCATTGTCATCTGATCCCTGATTCCTGCGAGTCCCAATCATTTTTTTTTTTTTATTAAAAGAGAAAGTGAAAAAGAAAAAAGGGGGAGAGAGTGAGAGAGAGGGAGAAAGAGAGAGAAGGGGAGGGTAGAAGGAGGGGAAAAGGGGGAGAAAGTGAGAGAGGGGGGAGTGACAAGGGAAGAGAGGGAGAGAGAGAGAATAGGAAGAGAGAGAGAAAGAGAGGAAGAGAGAGAGGGGGAGAGAGAGGGGGAAAGGGAGGGAGAGGGAGAGAGGAAGAGAGAGGAAGAGAGAGAGTGAGAGGAAGAGAGGAAGAGAGGATGAGAGAGAGAGAGGAGGAAAGAGAGAGAGAGAGGAAGAGAGAGGAGGGGAGAGGGAGGCGGGGGGGGAAGGAAGGGTTAGAGGATCACTTCACAGGAAGGTGTGAAATCCTGTATATGGGTGTGTGTGTGTGTGTGTGTGTGTGTGTGTGTGTGTGTGTGTGTGTGTGTGTGTGTGTGTGTGTGTGTGTGTGTGCGCTCGTGTGTATGTGTGCCCCCACTTTTAAGTATTCATACTGCTAATAAATATCAGTAGTAATACCCGTATTTCTAAAACTACCAACAGTGATTCTAGCACTTATCACTTCTACTTATAAAACACAGAAAGTAATTAGGTTGTAAAATTTAGCTTGTCTGAGCTTCTAGGAGTGTCTGACGTCACCCTCACTAGGCTTCCCCTCGCTAGGCTTCCCCTCGCTAGGCTGCTCCTCGCTAGTCAACACTATCTTCACCTTATCTATGCTATTTCTGCTCTAATTCTGGTAATAGCTTGCAGGAGTGAGTAACCAGTATCTAACAGTGATGCAAGGCAGGATTCAGAACCCCCAAAACAACCCCAACAGGTGAGTGATACTTAAGCTGGCAGTGATGCGATGACAAGTTGCCAGATGCTGATGACGTAGCCTTCTATCACTATTTTGAAAATTCTTCACCTGTGATCTTTATAACTGTATATGCTCATGCATCCCGCGTCCCTCAATGTCACTTATGATAGAATACACTTCACTTATATTGGAATACACTTCACATTCGGTGTTACACTTTATATGTATAATGTCACACAACTGTTGTGACGTCACTGTTTTAGCAGGCCTACTGCCACCTTCCCTTGTTATATATTATATTTTTCCTTTCTACTTTTGCTTATTAACTTTTTCACTCTCACTGTATGGTGCCCCACATTTCACTTGTTATCCAATTTCTCGAAATTCTTGAACACCCGCTTCCACACTCACTTGAATCTTTGTATATTTGAATCTGTGTAGCAACAGAAGCCTACTATCCACTAACGGTTTGACACTTTGAAATATTAAAGATTTCAGGCTTCCTCTCGACTTTTTTTAACTAATAACTCTGGTTATCACTCGTAGGATTGTTCACTGACGTTGTCACTACCACTGATTACTGCTAGCAGTTGTTGCATGCCTTAAAAACCACTAAAGTTCTCGGAGCCTTGTGACCCACGTCTGCTGACTGTGTGTGTGTGTGTGTGTGTGTGTGGTGTGTGTGTGTGTGTGTGTGTGTGTGTGTGTGTGTGTGTGTGTTGCGTGTGTTGCGTGTGTTGCGTGTGTGTTGTATGTGTTGCATGTGTGTATTGCGTGTGTGTGTTGTGTGTGTTGCGTTTTTGCATTTTTGTGTGTGTGTGTGTGCATGTTACGTGTGTTGCGTGTGTGTGTGTGCATGTTACGTGTGTTGCGTGTGTGTGTGTGCATGTTACGTGTGTTGCGTGTGTGTGTGTGTGTGCATGTTACGGGTGTTGCGTGTGTGTGTGTTGCGTGTGTGTGGGTGTTGCGTGTGTGGGTGTTGCGTGTGTGGGTTTGCGTGTGTGGGTGTTGCGTGTGTGGGTGTTGCGTGTGTGGGTGTTGCGTGTGTGGGTGTTGCGTGTGAGGGTGTTGCGCGTGTGAGTGTTGCGTGTGTGGGTGCTGCGTGTGTGGGAGATGCGCGCGCGCGCGCGTGTGTGTGTGTGTGTGTGTGTGTGTGTGTGTGTAGTTTGTGTACGTGGTTTGTGTGTGCGTGGTTTAAGTGGGAGGTCTGTGTGCACGCCTTGTGCCTGCCTGTGTTGCGTGTGTGCGTGTTTTGTGTGTGTGCGTGTTTTTGTGTGTGTGCGTGTTTTGTGTGTGTGCGTGTTTTGTGTGTGTGCGCGTTTTGTGTGTGCGTGTTGTGTGTGTGTGTGTGCGTGTTGTGTGTGTGTGTGCGTGTTGTGTGTGTGTGTGTGTGTGTGTGTGTGTGTGTGTGGTGTGTGTGTGCGTGTTGTGTGTGTGTGCGTGTTGTGTGTGTGTGTGTGTGTGTGTGTTGTGGTGTGTGTGTGTGTCGTGTTGTGTGTGTCGTGTGGTGTGTGTGTGTGTGTGTGTGCGTGTTGTGGTGCGTCTTGTGTGTGTGCGTGTTTGTGTGTGTGCGTGTTGTGTGTGTGGTGTGCGTGTTGTGTGTTGTGTGTGCGTGTTGTGTGTGTGTGCGTGCGTGTTGTGTGTGTATGTGCGTGTTGTGTGTTGTGCGTGTGGTGTGTTGTGTGGTGTGTGTGTGTGTGCGTGTTGTGTGTGTGTGTGTGCGTGTTGTGTGTGTGCGTGTTGTGTGTGTGTGTGTCGTGTTGTGTGTGTGCGTGGTGTTGTGTGTGTGCGTGCGTGTTGTGTGTGTTGCGTGTTGTGTGTGTGTGTGCGTGTTGTGGTTGTGTGGTGGTGTTGTGTGTGTGTGTGTTGTGTGTGTGCGTGTTGTTGTGTGTGTGTGTGTGTGTGTGTGTGTGTGTGTGCTGTGTGTGTGTGTGTGTGCGTGTTGTGTGTGTGTGTGTGTGCGTGTGTGTGTGTGTGTGCGTGTTGTGTGTGTGCGGTGTTTGTGTGTGGTGGTGTTGTGTGTGTCGTGTTGTGTGTGTGTGTGGCGTGTTGTGTGTGTGTGTGCGCGTGTTGTGTGTGTGTGTGCGGTGTTGTGTGTGTGTGCGCGTTGTGTTGTGTGTGGCGTGTTGTGTGTGTGTGCGCGTGTGTGTGTGTGGTGTGTGTGTGCGGCGTGTTGTGTGTGTGTGTGGCGCGTGTTGTGTTGTGGTGTGTGCGTGTTGTGTTGTGTGTGTGTGCGTGTTGTGTGTGTGTGTGTGCGTGTTGTGTGTGTGTGTGCGTGCGTGTTGTGTGTGTGGCGCGTGGTGTGTTTGTTGGTGTAGTGGTGTGCGTGTTGTGTGTGTGTGTGCGTGTTGTTGTGTGTGTGCGGTGTTGTGTCGTGTGTTTGTGTGTGTGTGCGTGCGTGTGTTGTGTGTTGCGTGCGTGTTGGTGTGTGTGCGCGTGTGTGTGTGTGTGTGCGTGTTGTGTGTGTGGTGTGTGCGTGGTGTTGTGTGTGGTGTTTGTGTTGTGTGCGTGTTGTGTGTGTGTGTGTGTGCGTGTTGTGTGTGTGTGCGTGTTGTGTGGTGTGTGTGTGTGCGGGGTGGGTGTGTTGTGTGTGTTGTGTGTCGTGCGTGTTTGTGTGTGTGCGTGTTGTGTGGTGGTGTGGTGTGGTGTGTGTGTGCGTGCGTGTTGTGTGTGTGTGTGCGTGCGTGTTGTGTGTGTGGTGTGTGTGTCGTGTTGTGTTGGCGTGGTTGTGTGTGGTGTTGTGTTGCGTGTGTTCTGTGTGTGGCGTGTTTTGTGTGTGCTGCGTGTTTTGTGTGTGCGCGTGTTTTGTGTGTGCGCGTGTTTTGTGTGTGCGCGTGTTTTGTGTGTGCGCGTGTTTTGTGTGTGCGCGTGTTTTGTGTGTGCGCGTGTTTTGTGTGAGTGCGTTTTGTGTGTGTGTGTATGTGTATATTCACCTAGTTGTGGTTGCAGGGGTCGAGTCACAGTTCCTGGCCCCGCCTCTTCACTGGTCGCTACTAGGTCACTCTTCCTGCTCCAAGAGTTTTATCATACCTCTTCTTAAAGCTATGTATGGATCCTGCCTCCACTACATCATTTCCCAGACTATTCCACTTCCTGACAACTCTGTGACTTAAGAAATACTTCCTAACATCCCTGTGATTCATCTGATTCTTCAACTTCCAACTGTGACTCCTTGTTGCTGTGTCCCATCTCTGGAACATCCTGTCTCTATCCACTTAGTCGATTCCGCTCAGTATTTTTGTATGTTGTCAGGTCGATTTTCCTTAACCTCTCCTCGTGTGTGTGTGTGTGTGTGTGTGTGTGTGTGTGTGTGTGTGTGTGTGTGTGTGTGTGTGACTTTCCCCCTATAACTATCATCAGTTATCCACTATCACTATCATCACTCACCCCCTATCACTATCATGACTTGCCCCCTATCACTATCATGACTTACCCCTTATCACTATCATGACTCACCCCCTATCACTATCATGACTTCCCCCTCATCACTATCATGACTTACCCCCTATCACTATCATGACTTACCCCTCATCACTATCATGGCTTACCCCTTATCACTATCATGACTTGCCCAGTATCTTTACTTACCTCCAATCACTATCATGACCATGCCGACGACGGAGAGAGGTTCGTCGTCATCGTCGAAGATGTCACTGTCGAACTCGGCTTCAGACGAGATGATGCCAATCCCGGTGACCAGGAAGACGAAGCCAGTCACTGAGAGACAGATGGCGCACGGCAGCCCCAGCATCAGACCTCCCACCTGTTGATGAGAACAAGTGTCAAGGGCTGTGAGAGGAGAGGAGCAGCGTTGAACTACGCGCGTTTCAGAACTGCGAAGAAACCTCCTCCCACATGTTTATCAGAATGTGTGTCAAGTGATGTGAGAGGAGCATCGCTGCGTTTAACGTTTAAATATGCGCGTTTTAGTCGCAGTGCGAGGCGAAGGGAATTTATTCACATCACAATGCAGGCTTCCAGAAACCAATATCATGACTGACCTTACGATGGGTTTCGCGAGTTTTCCCTACCACCGCAGCCCGGCCTTGGGCCAGGCTTGTCTGGTGCTTGCCTGTTTAACCAGGCTATTGCTGATTCTTTCCTGGTGACCTTTATATCCCTCACAGCCTAGCTGATCCGTTATTCAATAAAATCAGCATATTAATACTTACACGACCCAAAAACAACCCAGATCTTTCCCTAAGTAATATACATCAACGTTAAAATTCTGAAGCCTATTAGAAGAGGCATTCTCAATAAAATTGGCAGACTGGACCCTATGTAGTCCTAAACAACTTGGAACAATTCTTGAAGTTAGATATGTCAGTGGTATAAATTTTTAAGTTGTTCAGAAGCAGTATTCAAAAATGTTGCACAAAATGTTCCACATTTTATTAAGAACATTCTTAGCTCTCAAATTATTATTAAATTGGCAATCACCTCCAGGTAGGTAGACCTAAATAGCTTAATAACATTCGATCTTCGCCTTACTAAAATACACCAGGAGAGGAAGTTTGAAACTGTGTATGGAGTTTGCCTCAATCACTTCTCCATCTAACTCATTCCACCTATTTATCACCGTGAGACTGAAAAAGTATTTCCTAGTATCTGGTCATGTCGTGTTCCTATACACCATGTCAAATCCCCAGAGTATCTTGCGCATTGTTACTTGTCTTCCCTAGTCCTCTCTTCTAAAGTCGTCAGGTTCACTTCCTCAAGCCTCCTAGGGCTCATAGCTGAATCCCCACTGCTCTGAAATTCTCTGCTCTGAAATTCTCTGCTCTGAGACTAGTCTCTCTTTTATATACAAACTTATGGAACCTTCACCAATTAAGAACCAGAAATAACAGTTTTAAATTAGATAAATTTCGATTTAGGAAGGATGCAGGTAAGTACTGGTTTTCAAACAGAGTTGTCGATGCGTGGAACAATCTGCCGAGCAAGGTAGTGGAGGCTAAGATCTTGGGTAACTTTAAAAAGAGATTGGATTATTGTTAATACTTCAGAGATGATGAAGCTGCCTTTATTTTGCTTAATCGTGTTAGGAATAGTGATGCTGATTCAGGGTATTTATGTCTACGGAAATTAGGTCCTTGAATCACTAGCCGGGCGTCACTGAAGTGATTGAAGAACCTTATTTCCGTACACGTAAATGCCTTGAATCACCATTAATCGCTATTTCTAACATGATTAAGCAAAATAAAGGCAACTTCGTCATCTTTCAAGTATTAGCAAGAATAACCCTCAAAACAATAAACCCTGCCATCACACAGTTGCTGCTGATACTACATAAGAATATAAGAGAGGAGGAACACTGCGTGAGATCTCAAATCCAACCCCCTAACAAAAATATTTGCCCAACCCGTTTTAATCCTACCCAAGCGATAATAAGCTCTAATAACCACATGTATCACTACTACTACCACTAGTATTACAACTACTACTACGATTATATTGTGCGTTACACATCACTCTAATGCGTCTATGTATTGTTTGTAACGATTTGACAAAGCTCCTGGAGAGAGAAACGTTGCCACAATAAACTGTTGCATTAGTTGCACTTGTGTCCTTTCCCTTAACATACTGACAGCAATTCTACCAACATTAATAGAGAAACATTCATGTCTGTAGCTCTCTCCTCTCCCCCCTTCCTCGCCTCCCCCCCATTTTCTCTCTCTCTCTCTCTCTCTCTCTCTCTCTCTCTCTCTCTCTCTCTCTCTCTCTCTCTCTCTCTCTCTCTCTCTCTCTCTATCTCTCTATCTTATCTATCCTATCTATCTATCTATCTCTCTATCTATCTCTCTATCTATCTCTCTATCTATCTCTCTATCTATCTCTCTATCTATCTCTCTATCTCTCTATCTATCTCTCTATCTATCTCTCTATCTATCTCTCTATCTATCTCTCTATCTATCTCTCTATCTATCTCTCTATCTATCTCTCTATCTATCTCTCTATCTCTCTATCTATCTCTCTATCTCTCTATCTCTCTATCTATCTCTCTATCTATCTATCTCTCTATCTATCTCTCTATCTATCTCTCTATCTATCTCTCTATCTCTCTATCTCTATCTATCTCTCTATCTATCTCTCTATCTATCTCTCTATCTATCTCTCTATCTATCTCTCTATCTATCTCTCTATCTATCTATCTCTCTATCTCTCTATCTCTCTATCTATTTCTCTATCTCTCTCTCCCTCTCCCTTGTATGTACATAAATAAGGTCAATGCAGTACCTGAACACCTCGTCTCCTCCAGCTGGAAGACTGTTCAGCAGGTGCCGCAGCCGTGGGCACCACAACAACCTGCTGATACCCTTCTGAAAATATAACACATAGATATTAATCTATAGCCCATCCTCCTAATCAAGGTTGGTATTTTACTGTGGCTTAGGTACTCAAACGTGTGACTGACACAGGAATGAGGAAAGTATGTGAATGTTCATTCAGCGAGTCTCCGTTTTCCGTTCGCGCTCCAAAACTTTCTATCACCTTTATGTTGTATAGAATTTGCTGGCATTATGGTACGTCGTCATTATTATATTCTGCTTATTATAATAATATAATCATAACTCAGCCCTAAACCCATAGGGGTCATACAGCGCAGCATATTTTTCTTATAGACGACGCTCTAACTCAACCCGCCTTAACCTAAATAACGTATATCGTTAAATTTGCTTGAAATAATGAGTGAGAAATCGACTGATGCTTTAGGACAGCGTTACCAAAAATTATTTTTCAGTAAACGTGCTTACTTCCAAAGTATTGCCGACCCCCCCCCCCTCATCCCCAATACCTTTGTCACCTGTGGCAGATGGTTGCAACCACAGGTGATCCTCCCATCCCGGTTCATTATACATGTCAGCTCTGTTAAAAAGAAGAGGCACACGACCTTTACCATTATATAGTCAAGAGTTCAGATGTCAATGACTGCAGCTCTGGTGGAATGGTACTTGAAACAGTGTGAATATTTTGTTTGGTTTGTGTGTGCCTGTGTGTGTGTGGGGGAGGGGGGTGGAGGGTTGTCACCCTGCTTTCAACCGAAGCAGGATGACCCGAAAAAGAAGACATAATTTCTGGGATATTTAAGTTCTCATCTGCAAGAACAGAAATGTGTTAAAAATTATGTCACATCTTTGTTGTAAAGTAAAAGGACACAAGTGCAACTAATGTGACATTTTATTGTGGCAACGTTTCGCTCTCCAGGAGCTTTATCAAGCCATTACAAACAATACATGGACACAGAGGGTATATAAAGGCTCAGAGTGAGGTGCAATACTAGTGAGGTACCATTTCGATGTTCACTAGTGGTAGTAGTAGTATAGTAGTAGTAGTAGTAGTAGTAGTAGTATAGTAGTAGTAGTAGTAGTAATAGTAGTAGTAGTAGTAGTAGTAGTAGTAGTAGTAGTAGTAGTAGTAGTAGTAGTAGTAGTAGTAGTAGTAGTAGTAGTAGTGACAAAAGTAATACAAACGTTGCCACAATAAAATGTCACATTAGTTGCACTTGTGTCCTTTTACTTTACATATTGTCGGTAATTCTACCAACTTTATCACATCTTTGTTACTAAGTTGATGAGAGTTACATTTATGTTGGTCTATGTTTTCTTCCCTAACCTTATTCCTAAATACCTGAAAGAAACGCTTTGGGTTGATCTCTGAGTCCCTGCCAACGAGTTGAGATTAGTTGCTAGTGCAGGTAACATTGATGTATTTGCCATAACGGAGACGTGGTTTAATTCAAAAAGTCGGGACATGCCTGCGGAATGTCACATTCAGGGTTTTAAATTGTTCCAAGTAGATAGAAGTGTTGGGAAGGGGGGTGGGGTGGCATTGTATGTCCGAGATCGCTTGAACTGTTGCATAAAAGCGGGTATTAAGTCTGAAGTAACACATACAGAGTCTGTTTGGATAGAATTTTCAGAGGGGCATGAAAAATTAATTTTAGGTGTGATATACCGTCCCCCAAACTTAGATAGGGACCAGGGGAGACTACTATGGGAGGAAATTGTTAGGGCCACAAGACACGATAATGTAGTAATTCTAGGGAGACTTTAACTTTAGTCATATTGATTGGAATTTCTTGACTGGGAATTTAGAATCATACGACTTCTTAGAAGTAGTTCAGGATTGTTTTTTGAAGCAGTTTGTGACAGAACCTACAAGGGGTAATAACCTGTTTGACTTAGTTCTGGCAAACAATGAATCCCTTGTTAATAATTTAGAAGTTTCAGAGGAACTGGGTGCTAGCGACCACAAATCAATTATATTTAGCATTGAATGGAAGTATGATAGTAGGGATAACTCAGTAACAGTCCCAGATTTTTGCTTAGCAGATTACGATGGGCTTAGAGAACACTTATCTGTTGACTAGGGTAACGAAGAGAGCTATCAATATGACAGTTTTCTGAACACTATACATGAGGCTCAAAGAACGTTTATCCCGTATAAAGAAATTAGATCAAATAGAAATGACCCAAAATGGATGAATAATAGGCTGAAATATCTACTAGGGCATAAGAAAGGAATTTATAGGCGTATCAAAAGAGGTGAGGGTCATCTTATGAAACAGTATATTGACATTAAGAGGGATATTAAAAAGGGGATAAGAAAAGCTAAAAGGGACTATGAAATTAAAGTTGCTAGGGATTCTAAAACTAACCCAAAAAGTTTTTTCCAGGTATATAGAATAAAAGTCAGAGATAAGATAGGTCCCCTTAACCCTTTGAGGGTCGACAGGCCCTCTCCGAAACTCGTTCTCAGGGTCGGCCAAATTTAAAAAAAAAATTATTTTCTCTTATGAAAAGATAGAGAATCTTTTCCCGATCATAAAGACACCAAAAGTTTGAAATTTGATAGAAAACTTACGGAATTATGCTCTCGCAAAGTTAGCGGTCTCGGCGATGTTTAAGCATCGGCGATTTTGCCCACTTTGAGCCCCATTTTCGGCCAATTTCACTGTACTAGTCGACAAAAAACATGAATATTTCGCTAGAACTCCATTTTTTCTATCGAATGGGTGCAAGAAGCCACCCATTTATGAAATTCAACTATCCAGTACAGTGGTCAGAATTTAGCAATTTTGCCAATTTCACACAAATTTCAAAAGATGCCAATTTCCGAATAGGGTCCAGAATAAACAAGAAAGACATTCCTGGCACTAAAATGACATTTCCTCTAGTCATTAGTCACGTCTCAAGGCCCCTCTTATATTCTTTTGCTTTCCACTTTGAATTTTTATTCTCACAAAAAATATAAGATTTACTGTTATGCAGACTACTCCATTAGTGTAAAAAATGGAATAAATATTATTGGTGCACTTGTGAAAGAATATTAGACTCGCCAGTTGACGTATATTGCACGCTTCGCACGATTTGTTTACTTTTGAAGTTTGGTAAAAATCGAACATTTCTGCTACTTTGAGCTCAATTTCAAGGCACATTTCATTGTAAAATCAGTCAAAATCATCTCAATTTCTGTAATATGTCTTCCATTCTATAAAATGAGACCAAGAAAACTAGAATACAACAATAAATACCATACGAAAATACACTGCAAAGTCGCTGATTTATTCCAAAAAAATGGTCAAAGTTTTTTTTTTCTCATTATGCACTGTGTGCTGCAGGATTTCTTTTAGACTGTGCACACTGACCACATAGACCCATTCTTTCATATGAAGGCCTACCAGCTTTCTCCCACTAGATTTGAGGCCGCTAGAATTTATGCGTACTAGTACGTCAAAAACCCCTACGCGTAAGACGTACTAGTACGACCAAAACCCTCAAAGGGTATTAAAAATAACTATGGGCATCTTACTGACAAAGAGAATGAAATGTGCTCGATTTTAAATAATTATTTTCTCGGTTTTTAATAATATTCCAGTAATTAATTTTTATAGTGGGCCAGAAGAAGATAAATTATGTAGAAATGGGTAAGGAGAGTAGAAGTTTGAGGTAATCAGTCCCTCAACCTGGAATCGATGTGTTCAGTCCATCACTCTTGTAGGAAGTGCAGCACAGGGCCAGAGAGGTGGCTTATATACTGCGGTGAGATGAGTTGAAACAGGAGGAGGCGGGATCACAGTGGGACCTGCCACTAGTGTAAGTAGGTCGTCGTCCAATGTGTTGCATAAGTGTCTCAATTCTTCAACTTGTCGGTTTTCAAAACCATTCATCACATCTGTCAGACACTGCAACATCATGGGACCTTGGTACAAAGACTTCAACGCTTGCCCAACCTTTGGACGACGACCTACTTACACTAGTGGCAGGTCCCACTGTGATCCCGCCTCCTCCTGCTTCAACTCATCTCACCGCAGTATATAAGCCACCTCTCTGGCCCTGTGCTGCACTTCCTACAAGAGTGATGGACTGAACACATCGATTCCAGGTTGAGGGACTGATTACCTCAAACTTCTACTCTCCTTACCCATTTCTACTTTGTATTGGACTGATGAAGCCACTGTGTGGCGAAACGTTTCTTCAATAAAGATTCCCATGTGTTGCATAAGTGTCTCAGTTATGTTCTTATGTTTAGCCTTTCCAATTCTTCTTCTGACCTTTTATAATGAATAAATTATTCCTTAAGGTGACCTTCTCCTCTTGCTCCTCTTTTAACCCAAAAGATGTTTAAGTTCTGTTTATCCATTTAGTTTCATTTATACTTGATCAAATTTCTCTACCAGGAATATTTGTAAACTGAGGAGCCTGTGCAATGCTCTGGAAAATGTCATATTGGCAACCACCACCCACACCTGTCATATTGGCAACCACCACCCACACCTGTCATATTGGCAACCACCACCCACACCTGTCATATTGGCAACCACCACCCACGCCTGTCATATTGGCAACCACCACCCACACCTGTCATATTGGCAACCACCACCCACACCTGTCATATTGGCAACCACCACCCACACCTGTCAGGTCTCCGTCCCCATAATCCCTCATATCTCAGGTGTGTGATAGTTATGTATGCTTTTCATAATATACAAACTTTAGCTTTGTGTTTCTAAATTCTAGTTTTATTATAATCAATAAAACACATACGTCCCCAGTCACATATGTAAACACAAGATAACGACATGTAACATTTATACTAACACATAACAGTAGCGATTAACACAACACAGTATGAATGCATCTGGCAAACTACTTTCCTCTTGCGTACAAAACGAAATACATCTACCACAATACCTATCGCAATTTATACATTTGACTAATGTATAAATTGCTAATGTCAAGAGACGAAAACAGGTCACATATTTTCACTCAGGCCAGCTAAAATCTGAGCCACATGCATCACTAGTGTCATCCCTGCTGCAAGAACATTTGAGATCATTAAT